GAGTCTGCTAACATTGTGCTTATTTTTAAAAACTGTATTACAGGGTGTGTGTGCTTGCTGGAAACAGAGAGAGAAGAGAGAAGTGAGAAAGCCCCACCCCACCCCCAGACATGGCCATGCCATCCCTTCTCCATCATCCTCTTGGGAACTGGGCCACACACATGTGCCTGGCGTGTTTCTCAAGACACTGGGCCAGGACTCGAACTGCTTCATCGGCCACGTGCCATCCCCCCACTCTAAGCACCGCCCACCAGGTGGCCCTCTTCTGCTACCTTCCAAGTCAATTTGAACCTTGGTTCCCGAGAGGGCCGGCCTGCGAACACACACGCATGTGTGAGCACATACACCCTCGCCTCCTTTGGGAACCAGAGCCCTCTGGCCTCAGGAGCTGAGCTGGGACGTGCGCCTCCTCTGCTCCCACAGCGAGTGGGTAGCCCTTCTCTCCTGGGTGTGAGAATTCCCTGGTGAGGCCATCTGGGATGGAGTCTGGGGGAAGGTCTGCGATTACAAACTTCTTTTTCAGCAGATACGAGATAATTCAGATAATCTCGGTCTTCTGGTAACAGCTCCGTTTCATCCAGGCCGTCGAATGAACTGCTTTAAAATCCACTTCCTTATTTTCTTTTCAATGTCTGCGGGTCCTTCGTTGGCGATGAGTCTGAAGGCCTGCAATTTCCGGGCCATTCCCCCAGCCCTCTCGGCTTTACTACAACCCTCTGCTGCTCTGTTTTCTACTTGGCCGGTTTATGATTCTGCTTTGACCTCCTCCTAGAGACTTGAGGTTTAATCTGGTTTTCTTCTTCCCAGCTTCCTCAGACTAGATCGTTATTTCCGGACCTCTGTCCTTTCCTAATACAAATTCCTAAACTGCCGACCTCTCCAAAGACAGCCTGCCCTCGGATGTATGCGTTCACCCTCACTCACTCCACAGCACACTCTAGCTTCTCCTGCGGCCCGCTGACCTGTGGGGGCTGGTTCCTGGGAGACTCCGGGTTTGTGTCCAGAGCCCTCCCTACCCTCCCTGAGCACCATGGTCACATGGGTGCAGGAGCTGGGCTGGCTGGGGCTGAGGGTAGGGACGGTGGCACTGAGACTGTTGAGAGTCTTAAAGAAAAAGCACGGTTACCGTGCCAGTACTCACAGGCCTTACAGACCCGTGAGCAGGTCCTGCTGCTGCTGCACGGTTACTGGGCAGGGCCTGCGCCCCACCTAGCTCTCCTGGGCCCGTCACGGCCAGGACGGACCGG